GCCAAAGGGTCAGCCTACCGTATCAAAGGAGCATCCCGAAGCCTCACAGCCTATCGTCTAAAGGATCAGCCTACACAGCAAGGAAACATCCTGAAGACAGCACCAAACTATATTCTTTATCCCAAGGGTCAACTACCACGTCAAGAGGAGCATCCGAAGGACAACCGGTCAAGAGGGTTAACTCCTTCACCCGCCAATCGACCTTATGGCACATCGACCCATAGTCAATTGGTCAGGTAAAGGGGGGCAGTTGTAGACCTCAAATCTTGTCCGGCCTCTCAATAAAGCCAGAAGACCTCCGTTTGAAGATGGATAAGGCCTCTTTAGGTCCCTAGGCATGTTTACCAGGCTTTATGTTAGGATAGGAAGACCTTCTGTACACGAAAATAAGAGAACTCTCGCCAAGAGCTCGAGACAGTCATCCCGTTCGACCAGACGGTCGTCTCGCCTAACAAGGGTCCAGAAGGTCGTCTCAGCCTGACTGCCACGGAATCCTATAAATAGGACCTCGCCCTCCCCCCCTCATTTCACACAAATCCACACAGTTTTCACCCCTTCTCTCATCCTAAAGCTCTTTTAAGACTTTGGGATAACTCTGAGCACTTTCCAGAGTTCGAGAGCCTTCCAATTTTCGTTTAAAGTAGAAATTGATTAAGGAAGTCTCCTTTTGAGACATTCGGCACTCGATAGAAGGGTAGTTTATTTTATTGCGGGAGAGGAGCGTGCTTGTAGAGTGCTGGAACAGCCAAAAAGCGTCCTCATTTCTTGAAGAGTTAATAAAAAAGCTCGCTTCGGAGGTTCCTTTCCTTATTCTCTCTCTTTTACCATTTTCCTTTATTGCTTTCCTTGTATGCATTAGATATTAGGGCCATATATACATTTAAATTATGCTAGTAGATAAATAAATAGGGTAAAAGCATAGTTTTTTAGTCTTTATTTTATAAACTAGTCCATCATAGGGAACCCGAAAGGGGTGTTGTGAGGTGCTAACACCATCCCCACACGTAACTAACTCCCTTACCCAACTCGGTTGTAATGGCCAAAGTTAGTTTTCTAAAACCAACGCCTTTTTTTTCCTTTTTTGATATTTATGGTAAAAACATTGGTGGCAACTCCATCGAACCTTTTTCGAAAACCTCATCCTTAAGATCAGTTCGATTATCGGGCATCTTAAGAATGTTGACCATCTTTAAAAAACGCGAGTCATTCAAAACCATCGTGTCGCTTTGACGACCTCTTTTGATGGCGGCGACAGTGGTCAAGGTTGAGCTTTGGGCTGCTAAGACTTGTCCAAGCATTTTATAATTTTGATATTTAATTATTATAAAAAACTTTACCTAGACGGATGATGTGATTAAAAATGTGGGTGAATCTCTTTTGTACTTTTGCAATACTTTCTCCTTGTTGCATTAATAATTTATATTTTCAAATGAAGGCATTCTTTCTAGCTCTTTTCACATCAATAATCCCTTCATGTATGACTTCTAAAATGTCTCACGTTTCCTTTATTGCCTTGCACTAAGATTCTCTAAAAACCTCATCCAGATTTAAAACAGATGTAATAATATTTTTTGCAATACAATCATATTGCACTTTCTTATTTTCAGCATTAGAAGGGTAAGACCAAGATTTTTTGACCATAACACCATAAACTTTATGTGTAAGAACAAAAAGACCATTTTTAATTGCATTTCAAATGTCTCTATCAATTGATTTAATGAAAATTTTCATTATAATATTTCAGAATTAATAATTAACTCCATAAAACATTGGAAGTCTATTTATGGAAGCCCCTTTTACAAAAGACAGTTTGTTCTCAACCATTTTTTAATGAAACTTGAATAATTTTCAAGTACCAACTCTAATACCAATTGTTAGAAACAATGACCAAGATTAAGAGAGGGTGAATTGATCTTTTTGAAATCTTTTTACAGATCCAATTCTTTAAGAATAGAATCAACTTTTTCAAGAACTGATTGATATAAGTCTTTAAATAACAAATTAAAAGACAAGATAATAAGAAAGAGAAAGTGACAACATACAACAAATTATATAGGTTCACCTAATTTCTTGGGCTACATCCAGTTCTTAGCTCAACCCAACCGAGTACACCATTAAAACCAAAATTCAATTAAAAATACATTATTAGAAAACACCTATCTACTGTAAGAGAATCTTGATCCACCAAGAACAACTCTTGACTACATCAGCTTACTAAATTCCAGCCATCAAACACCAGGTACCACACACCAGGTACCCACAAGAATTGAAAAGAAACAAGATATAATGGAAAGAAATCACTTAAAGATTATTATACAAAAACAATCTAAGTGCAATGGTTCAAACTCAAGCGAATTACTTCCAAGAAAGACTAAGATGCTTCAAGATTTTTCTAAAAACAATTTCACAATATAAGCACAGAGGTCTATCTCAAAATTCCTCTCAAAACTCACTTTAAAGATTGATAAAATCATATGTTCAAAATGAAAGAGAGAAACTATTTATATAAAGATCTTTGTTAGTTTTAATAGATTATTTTGTGAAGCCTATTTTCATTGAAGAACATTTTAAATATAAAAAGGATATTTAATCGATGAATTTTTGAATTCTATTTTCACCAAACTCGAGTCATATGCATTTTAAATGATGAAAAATATGGTTTAATAATCAATTAAAAACTGCAAAGTATACGAGGATCTTGAGTTTTAATAATTTTAATTGATTAATTAAAATTTTTATTGATTAAAAGGATGTGAACCTAAAACATTTTAATAAATTAAAACAAATTTTAACAAAATAAAGATAGTGAACCTAAAAAACTTTAATCAATTAAAACAAATTTTAACAAAACGAAGATAGTGTGACATTCACTCTATTCTAGGATATGATTAAGTTGAGATAAAACCAATGCTTACATACCAAAACTCCTAAGACACACAAGACACATGACAAGACGAACAATAATGACAAAAACACATTTTTCTTGATTTTGGCTTCGTCAAATCTAACATGATGTTTTATATTTGTTAGTGATCACTAATGACTTATTACAGGAAATTGAATTATGATTGTGTTGAGTTTGCATAATTTTGATTTGTTATATTCATTAGTGATCAATAATGACTTATTGCACTAAATTGAATTATGACTTATTGCACTAAATTGAATTATGACTGTGATGAGTTTGTGTAAATTTGATTTGTGTAGACTTTTTTATTGAATTCCCTACTATTTTAATATGTTGTAAGAATGGACGTTGTTAGGAAATAGGTTGAAGAGGAAATCAACTTTGTATTAAATTATACATTGTCTAAGGAATATTTAAGATAATGATACTCATAAATGAGATTGAGTGACTAAGAAGTTGTTTGAAAAGTTATGTACAGTTTAGTATTTGCGTAATTTTTGCTCAAGGGATATTTTTGCTTGAGTAACAAAGTCTATAGACTTGATGGAGTAGTCTCAAATTTGTTTCTTTCTCAAACAAGAACTCCTCAGGCTTCTAATGAAAATGAAAAATTTGAAAGAGTTTTCACTTAAGCAAGATTCTCTAACTATATATATTATTACATGCTATGAACCCATTTTTTTCATGTTTTTGTGCATATAATGTTGGTTGTGTTGTTTATCTTCTTTTATGAACTAAACAAAGTTAAATTGTATGTTGACTGAAGTAATATATTTATATAAGCAAATGCATTTGATATGAATTATTGTGGAAATGAACCTGTAATTTTTATGGAGAAAATTTTACGTGGAGATGTAAGTATTATTTGAAGTCGAGGATTTGTAATTCTAGTTATATTGAAATCACATGAAAAAAATAGGTAGTGAGAATTAAAGAAAATTTCTATTATTAGTTTATAATGTGAAAGAAAACTATGTTTGATAAATGGTAGGAATTACAAGATAATATAATTAATTTATGTATATTGCTCATATATATTAATTTAAAAATATAGGATGGTAAATACATATTTCTTATTCTATTTTAATATATTTGCATTTTAGAAATAGATTACAGTATATATAATATAAATGTTAGTATGTAATGAGACGAGATATAGTTTATATCAACAGATATTTAAAACTTGATTTATTTATTACGCATGATTGATTGGTCTACAAGCTAAATAATAAATCTGATGTAAAAATTATACGATGAAAGTTTTATCACTCACCTACTAACCTACTTTATTTTATTTTATTGTATGTTGATTTCAACTATAATCATAATTGTTACGTGAAAACAAATAATATTTCAAATCTTCAATCTCAATATTAACTGGTGGAGGAAGAGACATGATAAAACTTATTGTGTTTTGTTTAATATTTAAATTTGATATGTGTGTAAAATACTATTTTAAAAAATTATAATATTATATTATGAGATAATATAGTTATGTGAACTTCCAATTGTTATAAAAAATTGTAATTCATAATAAGTTAAATTAAATTATGTATAAATTGTTTTTTCTTCTCGTACATAAATCTTCGTTTATGAATTTTTTAAAATTATTTTAAAATACTTATAAAAAAAGTTTATCGAGAATGGTGATTTACTTACGGTAATTATAATCTCCGCTTTATCTTAAAAAAAATGATGGTAAGATATTAAACTTTTAAATATATAAAAAAAAACATAATTTCATACGGAAATGTCAATGGCTTATTTATGGACTGATTTAATAAAAATATAAATAAAATTATTATTATAATATTAAAACAGAGTTATTTATAGAAAAATGGTAAGAATTTGGATGGTAAAAGTACCATTTTCCTTAATTTAAATTTACTTAATACTTTATTATATTATCGAATAAATGAGTGATGTTTCTAACAACTGAGAGGGATCCAGAATCCATAGCAAATAAACAGTTTCATGGAGGCCACGTGTGGGCCTAGCCTGAGGAATGGGCTGACACGTGTGGGTAATATATGACGAGAGCGTGCGAAGGGAAAAAGTGAAAAGAAAGAACGAGAAAAGAAAAAGAAGAAAAATGAGCGTGCAGTACCACTACTGCCCTTTCCCAGCGTTGGCTTATGCAACAAAACCCACTCACACACTCCCTATAACTATCGCCAACCACCGTCGCATTCCACCTGACTCTTCCACCTTCTCCGTCATCACCAATCTCTTCTTCCAAAACCCTAATTTCCTTACGGGGAACACTCTCTTCCTTAGGATGCAGGTAATAATAATTTAATTTAACCATTCATCTTATTTCCTTTTCTCAATTCTATGTTTCTGTCTTTTTCTGTTCTAATAGAACGCTCGAAGAATATTCATTTAATTAAGCAATAAACCGTAAAAATATAATTGTTGTAATTCACAATTGGCGATTGTGCGTGTCATGTTATTTTTTGTCTGTTTAGGTTTCTTGTTCTTAATTCAGCCTTTGTCTTCTCTTAGTGCGCTCCTAACAAGAGGAGGAAAAGAGAAATGGAAGATAACCAAGTAGTATTGTGACTTGTGTTCCTTAATAATGTTATCTCGATTTTGTGCAAAAATTATTGCATCAAAAATGATTTTTTTTTTTAATTGCAGAGATTTTGCTCTGTGAGTGGCGTGACTAAGAACAAAGCAATGGTGGAGAGGTTACAGCGCTATGGAGTGATCACATCAAGTAAGGTGGCTGAAGTAATGGAGAGAGTTGATAGAGCGTTGTTTGTACCGGATGGAGCTGCGCCTTATGATGACAGCCCCATGGCCATAGGGTACAATGCCACTATATCTGCCCCACATATGCACGGCATGTGCCTTCAGTTGCTTGAGGAGAATTTGCAGCCTGGGATGCATGCATTGGACGTTGGCTCTGGTATATGCTCCATGAATCTATTATGAGCAAATTTGAATTTACTTGTGTAATTTTATTCGAACACATTCAAGATAAGTGGGAGTTGCATGCTAGTTGGTGAATGAAGTTTTTCTTGGTATTCCATTACTATCTTTGGGTGTTTGATTTGCTTTTGATGTGGCATAAACTTCCCTGGGTAAAGTGCTGAAGTTACTGTCTCGTGTTGATGAGGCTGATTATTAACATAGATGGTTGAAAATGTTGTTAAAGTTGTTTATAAAATGTAATAGTAAGGGTCAATTGAAAACACTGGATGTTATTGCTTGAGCATTGGATGGATTACATACAATGTGGATAAAGAGTAGTTTCTAAGGTTCACCACACCCTCCTTCCCTGGAGGAGTTATATAGGCATAGCAAGATGGTGTGAAGATGTAGAAATGTGACAGTGTTCATTGAAAAGCTTTTAGAATTAGGTTCCCCCCTATTGATTTGCATATTTCCAATTATAGGTGGATGTTTAGAAGGTTCTATGACGTCCTGCTTCATGGATCAACTCTTCTTCTGCTTACCAGTCTTTTGGCTTTTCACATTGTTATATTTAGTTGTTCACAATTCTAAATTTGACTTGTGTGCAGGAACGGGGTACCTAACTGCGTGCTTTGCCTTGATGGTTGGACACCACGGCCGCGCTGTTGGTGTAGAGCATATTCCTGAATTGGTTTCTTTGTCAGCAGAGAATATTCAGAAAAGTGCTGCAGCTACACAATTGAAAGATGGTTCCCTTTCTATTCATGCTGGGGGTATGGTTTTTTAAATTTCTGTTTGAATTGAACCTGAAAGACTGAAGGTTTTGATTTTAGACAATAATTGAATGCAGTCCTTGTTTCAAGCATAGGGTATAAAGACGCAATGCCATAGTTTGGAAACGTTTAATTCTGTCGAATGGTGAACGGAACCTTTTTGTCAGGATTTGCAATCTGTTTGATGTTATTATTGAGTCCATTAAAGTAGAGTTGATCCGTGTGACATGGTATAGACGACAATGGAATCTAATGGATTGGCGGATTGATAATTGTTGTGTTGACAGATGGGAGGCAAGGTTGGCCAGAGTTTGCACCTTATGATGCCATTCACGTGGGAGCAGCAGCATCAGAAATTCCTAAACCACTTATTGACCAGTTGAAGCCTGGAGGTAGAATGGTGATTCCTGTTGGAAACATATCTCAAGATTTAAAGGTGGTGGATAAGAATTCTGACGGTTCTATCAGTGTCCGCACTGAGACGTCCGTTCGTTATGTTCCCCTCACAAGTCGAGAAGCTCAACTGCGAGGTTACTAAAATGGAGCCAAAATACTGAATTTAGGAAGAGGCTAATACATCAGATGTCAATGTTCGGATCTTGGATGAATACGTGCTGTTAGAATTTGTATAGTTAAAAGTTTCCTGAGTTTTGTAAACTTAATGTTTACAAGTACTGATTTCAGTCGTTGGGACATGCACCCCTATGCTGGTAGAATCTGTATAGTATAAAGTTCATGTTATGCTTAGTGGATTAATTCATGTTCATCATGTATTAATAATAATTTTGATATCAAATATTTGTGACTGTCTTCTGCGTTTAGCTTATAATATTATAAAAGAAAACAAAACTACATGGATATTAAAACTTTGTAAGTGACATTCCTCAAGATATTTGAATTACATTTGATTTCCATATTATTGTAAAGTATAAGGCCTTTCTAGGGATGAATGTATTAACAAATTTCTTGGCAGGGGCTTTTCTCCCGCTGGCATGAAGAACGGGTCATTGCACCAGTTCTTGAAAAAAATATGTTTGTTAAAAAATTCGTTTGAGAAATAAGAAATTATACTAGCCGCTCAAGTTATAATTAGTAGATTTAGTAAATGTAAAAAAAATGTATATATGGGATGTAAGATCTAGTACAGTAATTTTTGCATGGAGAACACTTAATATATCGTATTCACGTAAAATATTATTTTTCACTTATCTCTATTTCTTTTTATATGTTTTTTTTAATTACTTTCTCATAACCCAAAAAAAAATTATAATAAATTATACTTCAAAATAATTTAAAATATATTCATGAATTTATTGAATTTCAAAACTTGAAAATAATTAAACATATTATTAAATATAATTAAATTCAATTATTTAAATTCAATTATTAAATTTAAATATTGAGATTAATCAAAATTAGAATTCTAAAACTTAAAAATAATTAAACATATTATTAATAAATTAATGTATCGTCAAATAAATCATAACACCATCATATTTTTAGAAAAAATTATTATAAATAAATAAAATCTACAAGAATTTATTAAAAAAAGTAACATTTATCACTAATATAACAAATTAAAAATTATTAGAAAGATTTAATTATCATAAGAGAAATAATATTCTCTTATTAAGTAAATAAATTATTTATAATTTTTAAAATACTTGTTTTAAGTTAAAAAAATATGTAAGGATTTGTTTATTAAAAATATGTATTTTATTCAAATTTAATTTAAATTTTATTATTTATTCAAAATAAATCTTTGAATATATTTTAAATTATTTTGAAATATTTTTTTAAATGTAATTGATTTTTTTATTTTTAAATATCCATAAGCAACAATTAAAGAGAGAAAAATAAAATAAAACGAAAAAAGAGAGAAAATAATAATAATAATAATAATAATAATAATAATAATAATAATAATAATAATAAAATTAAGAAAAATGAAATATCAAGTGAAATGTAATAATAAAATTAATGAAATATTTAATTTTAAATAAATATGTGTAAATGTTATGAATTAGGTGGAGATGTTGTTAAAATTATAAAATTACTCGTGGAACATCTTCCAGCCCCCGAGACCAATGTGTACCAATTCAAAATTTATCATATAAATTTATTTAAATATATTATATTAAATTATAATATTTTAGATAATTTAAATAATTTTATAATAAAAGATCCATTTACATAAAAAAATAAAAATATTATTATTATGAAAATATTATTAAAATAATAATCATAATTTAAATTATTTTTAAAAATGAATTATTAATTATTAAAATAATATTAGTAATTAGTTATTGATTATTATAAAAAAATTGATTATTAAAAGAAAAATTAAAAATAAAGGAGAGATAAGATTCCTTATCACTTTAATAGACAATCATTAAAAAAAACTTCTAATATGAAAGTTAAAAAAAAAAAGGTTATAAACAGGGGTTAGGGAAGAATGGAAGAGAAGAGGAGGAGGGAGAGAGAAAGGGAAGAGCGAAGGGAGAGAGAAAAGGGAATAGAGAAAGAAGATATATAGGTAATTTTAAGAAGGTGTAGGTGAATTATTTGTAATTATTAAGGTAAATAAAGAAAATATTTATTATTCTATACTTTATTTTTAATTATGGTTATTAATTGAGAAGTCTAATTTTTAGTGTAAATTAAGGATACTTAAGTTTATTTTAAAAAAATTGTCATATAAAATACAAGTTTAAGTCATTCTTATCAAAAAGACATATTAAAATGTATTCAATCGTTATTATTTTTCCATAAAAATTAAATTTGGGGATTTGAAAATGTAAAACAAGAATTGTAAAGCAAAATAGAAAATAAGAAGTAGAAACTAATCTCAAAATAAAAAGATAGATCAATCCACGATTTTTCAATCAAATAATTATTTTATCATAGTTCTTTAAAAATTTCAATCCAACTTTTAATCCTAAAAACAACATTACAAATTAAAATTTCAAGATGTAATACCAATTTTTTTAGAGAAAGAAGAACAAATTCGAGACGAGAAACTATTGATACAAAACTCAATTTGTCTTGTTTGATATTGATTTAGTGAATTAATCCTCAAAATTAATTCTTCATGGAAGAAGAAATCTGAATCAAACTGAATTAGAAAAGGAGAAGCATAAAAAAAGTAAAAAACCAAAATAAAGAAGAAGAGAGAAAAAGAAGATGTAGAGACACTTATTAAACCGAAAACTAAACAAATAATTTCTTGATATAAGTTCGAACACTTTTAGTATTTATAAAGGCTTTCAAATATAAAGTAAAAGTGACCTAAATATGGCTCTAATTAGGTCTAATAACTCAATTACAAAAGATAAACTAATACAAATGAAAATCAAATCCGTACGAGTTCCTTGCAAAATTTCAGCAAATCTACCTCAACTTCTAAAACTCGCAGAAAATAACACAAAACTCTAAATTCAAAAGATCATATATCAATTTAATAGCCCTGGAAATGTAAAATCCAATTGAATTTGAATCAGACAAAAATAATGTATATAGAAAAAGTTATGGTCAAAATAGTGAGCAAAGATTATATTAGCTAAAAATGTTGAATTAGAACAAATATATACGTTAAAGTCAATTTATTACTACTAACTAGAAATAAGTTTAAAAGTGAAAATAAAGCATCCGAAAAGTGTACTCATTGTACACTAAATTTATAGATATGTGTACAAAATATGTGATATCAGTATCTCTAACCTCATCCTCTTTATTCTTTTATATTTATCTTTTACTTGTCGTTACAAAATATGAAGCCAAACGTGATTAATTTTGTAGTCATTTATCCTTTACTTATCAATACAAAAATTAATTCAAATTTTCACGATATAAAATAAATTAAACATGTTGATAAGGTTGAAAAAGATGGTTTTATATATCATATTAAAATTATATTATTTTACACGATATTTGTTATCACTTTCTTACTCGTATTATAATTGAAAATATCAACTTAAATAGATGAAAACTGCAAGTCGAAGATAAATATCATTGATAAATATATTATTTTTAAAAGAAATATTCTTATTAATTTTAATAATTATTTCAGATTTGAAAGTAATATAAACTTATAAAGTTGATATATTTATACACATAAATATATAAACATATTATGTTTTATTTTTGTCAAAATTTAATAAAAAATAATTATTTTTTAAAATATAATTAAATTAATAATTTAATTAAAAGGTCAGTCTGATAATGGGTGTATAAGGATTCAATTTTTGTATAATAAAGAATATATTTATTGTTGTTGATTTAATTAATGTATTTTATAAACCTAATTTACTTTTAAATTAATTCACTTTGAAAAATTGACATCATTTTAAATGTAGACCTCATTAAAAGTTTCACCCTTTTATTAAATTATCTTGCATCTTTGGAATATTTAAAGGTAATTAATTTACGTGATATATCAATTTCCATCTTTTAACTAAAGTTATTTAAAAACAAAATTGATTATTTTATTATGGATCTCATAATTAAGTTGTCTAAGATATAATTAGAGTTATTTATTAAATAATTTTCTTCTAACTTTAAATTCTATTTTTAAGTAATTTAAATATAAGGCTCATAATAAAATATTTATTTTTATTCAACAATTTTATTCCTACTAACTCTTGTAGCATCTCTAATTGGAGATGCTTTTATATATAAGAAATTCCAACTAACTATACTAAACATGCTGCTAAAGGATCAAGAAACGGATTTCTAAAGAATGAAATATCTTTGAAAGTCCTCTAAATTATACTAATCACCATCTATCAATCGCAAAACTTACTTTCAAATGAATTTAACTAAACTTCAGAAACAATCTTAAAAAATAATAATAATAATACATAGGATTTGTTAATAATGTAAATATCTATTTTGTACACATTCATTCAATTGTAATCTTTTACTTTTTTATCGACTATTATAATAAAAAAATATTTTAAATGAAAAATTATGTTATCTAGAGTAAATTTATAACTTGAATAATTGTTTAAAAAGTTATAATAGTTTTCTTCATTAATTAATAATGTAAAAACTAATATGTTAATTTTTAGCAGCTATTGAAACTTTCTTTACTGGTGTTCAATTACTTTGAAATATTGAAGATATTTTCTCAACGATAGAATATATTTTAATTAGAAAAGCATAACGAAACAGCACTGAAGTTACCAGGAAGTGGCAGCAATGATTAAAATCAATAGATTAGCTGAATGAGCTGAATCGTATGCCTGGTCATGTGACTGGAAAATAATATGCTTTTTATTTAGTTAAGCAGTACTATAATAGTCGCCACAGAACTCCACTCTCCCCGTTTTATAATTTCAGAAATTAACAAATATCCCAAGTGAAAAACACAACAAAGCATAATTTTTTTTTCAAGATCTTGTAAGGGTCAGAATTACAACTTCCTTTTCATCTGGACAATAGATTCATAATAGCAAATTACGTAAATCTAATATGAAATTGGCGCTCCAAGAAAGGAATTTCCTTTAAAGAAAATTGTCATCATATCCTCAGCCATCTAAAAAATGCAAGAGAACTCCAGCAGCTGAAATGGGGACTACCTAGGTCCCACTCAAAATGAGCTACGCCTGGGCGGTCTGTCCTCAGCAACATTCACCCTAATTGTTCTTCCGTCCAAATTCTGAAATAACAAAACCAGCATATCAGAAAATAATCCAAAAATAAGCTATAAAAGCGGCCAATTTGATGTATTGTTTCACCCTACCCTCAAATCACACACTAGAGGCAATTTCAAAAACTATACTTTTCAAGCTACTTTCCCTATGAACATAGCCCGTAACAATCCTGTACCTTTCAGTTTTCAGCATATTTAATTATCAATGTATGTAACCATTGATAATTTAACAAAGAACTTAAGTAATACCTGACCATCAAGAGCAGCAACAGCATCATTCATTTCCGACTCTTCAGACATTGTGACAAAGCCAAAGCCACGTGAACGACCACTCTCCCTGTCATAGACTATCCTAGCACTCACAACCTTACCATGCTCACTGAAAACTTGCTCCAACCTGGTATTATCAATATCCCATGGCAAATTACCAACATAGGCTGTAAAGGAAGGCTCAAAGGAACGACGAGGAGGACGTTCAGGCTGAGCTCCTCTCGGAGAAGCCTTGTTAACAGTCAGCAGTCTTCCATCGTAATCCTGTCACAGATAATAAGAATAAGATCCAAAGAATAGCACAATAAAATTATTTAGAAAGAAATATTAATGACAGTATACACATCCTTTTGCATGTGAATGACATGTAAGACACATTTGACTAGTACTAGAGGAAGAAAAAGGGTTTAAAATAATCCTTTGCACAAAGTAAAAATTCTTTCATTGGAACAAGTGATGTGCCAAGAGCAAACTTATAAAGGTTCTGTAGCATTTCATTCAGTTAATTAATCTTCAAGTCGGTGGCTTAGAAACAAAAAATATAACAAATAGTTGAATGAAAATCCGAACTTCAAGTTGTAACTATAAATTTATAGGAAATAAAATGTCATAGGCACAAGAGGCACCAAGACAAGCACAACATGCACAAGGACCCCTCATCTTTATAACACCATTTATGCAGCCAACTCTTCTCGCATATTAATTGAGGTGACCTTCATTGTAAAAAATGCACACAAAAGAAGTCTCGTTGCAGGTCCAGAGATGCAGGTCATAATCATATCGTGGTTCTTTACCAATATGGTGGAATGCTACAACAATCAGACAAATAGTATACTTCAACTGGTAACACCAGCCGTTCTTCTTTTCTCCGTTTTATTCCAAGACATTTTTACCAATACAACAACACTTCAATTACAAAACAACAGAGTCCACCCGACCTAAACACAAAACAAAGATTCAATACATAGCTAGCTCCTATCCTCACTGGTTGTCAACAACCACATATTAAAAGAAAAAAAAAGCATTGAACGCGCAAAATTCAATACAAAATCAAACCAAAAATTTTCACCGGCAATTTCAATCCCAAGTTGACACATAGTTAATATCAGAATACAAAACAAGTGATATGAACTTACATAGCTATTGAATTTCTCCACAGCGTTCTCAGCTTCTTCAACAGTACTCATCGTCACAAACCCAAATCCGCGACTACGGTCAGTATCCCTGTTATAAATCACCTAAAATAACAACGAAAGAACAAACACACGCGTTCATTCCACTTTTGAACCCTAAATAACATTATCAAAAATCGAGATTCAAAATTGAGAGTATAAAGAGATTCTCTCTTTCTAACCTCGGCAATTTCAACGGTTCCGGCTTGTTCAAAAAGAATGGCCAATTTCTGGCTATCAACGTCGTAAGGCAAGTTCCCGACGAAGAGTTTGGCCTCTTCCGGAGGTTCCACGAAACCCTCATCTTCTGCGCCTTCACCGTTGGGCTCCCAATCAAGGAGACCACCCTGCTCTTGTCGTTCTTCTTGGTCCTGGATGGTGGCGGTGTTGTCCTCTTGCTGGGCCCAATCGGAGGTTTGGGCGACGTGCGTGAAAACAGGGGAACGATGGGTTCGTGCGGCGAGGGAGAGAGAGAGCGAGGGGGAGGAGTTGAGGCATGAGAATTGGAGTGTGAGGGGTTTGGAGGGAGGGGAGAAGATAGAGGGTTTGATTATGTTGTGGAAGAGAGAGGAGGGAGAAGAGAGGAGGCAGGAATCAGCCATGGTGAGGGACTTGAAGGCAGTGGCAGTGATAGACATGTAAGAAACTGTGAAGGGGTTAGAACAAAGGTTGGAGAAGAAGAAGGGTGTGTAAGGATAAGAAACAGAGGCGAAGGGTTTTGCTGTCAAAAACAAGCCAAAAACTAATTAATATTACACATGTGGGCTTTTTATATGGGCCTGGAATGTGGGAGAGATTTTGAGAAAAAAAAAAAAAAAAGGAAAGTATCAACCACTGATTTTTACGTCATCTTATCTAATACTTATAAAATACTCCTACATGGAACGTTTCCTATTGAAGATAATGTAAATATTTATGTTACTTTTGTTGTAATTTCTATATTTGTAAATTTATATAAATATAAAAGTGATTAATTCTTTATTAAGAATATAAGTTAAAAAAATTTCTCATTCTCATAAGTTATTTTCTTGTAATTTAATAATTATGAGTCATTCTTTATATATATATATATATATATATATATATATATATATATATATATATATATATAATATATTAATTATTTTTCTTTATGGTTATTTTTCACGAATAATTTGTGAATCTATATGAAAAGCTTTGATATGCAGTAATTGGCATTTAGAGTAAAGAATATAAGAACTTCCACAAGGAGTCATGATTTTTGTAAATAACATTACAAATGTCAAACATTCTTTCTAATCGTAGATGACAAAAAAATACGATTAATAATAGGTTGTGAGAATACAAGTCATTTTTTACTTTCAAGAAATTGTAGAAATGAGAAAGTGTGAAGGAAGGATTACCTACAAACAGTTACGAGTAAGCAGAAATATTACAAAACAAAGTATCTTGTTAATGAATGTGTGAATTTTGTGATATGTATAAGTTTGAAAGGTCAACACAAATGGAAGCATGGAACATTTTATAATAGGCATATAGGAAAGCTAAGAAGACTAAAAAAGTGAAGTTGTAGTTCTCAAAAGGTAGTATGGATTAATGGCCATGCTTGATAAGAGTTCTTAGAAGATTATTTCAACAAGATGAAGTCAATAATGAATTCAATGAAAGCTTGTGATGAATCAATCAATTTTGAAAGAAAATCATGGAGAATATATTAAGGACTTTAGCTTCTTGATTTGATCATTAGTGGCTGCAAGAACAGACTCCAAAATCACGAAGAATTGCAAAATTCGAGATGGGGTACGCAAGCACAAAATCAACGGATTCTTATTTTGTATCACTCCAAAACTCTTAAGATGTAGACGGTTGATAAAATATTAACACTCCTAAATCAAGTCATACTCGTACAAATTCAACTATTACATAATTCTCTAAAATTCATTAAGAAGCTACTTAAGAATTAACAAAAATATACATTTACATAATAAACTATTAGAAAATTGCACACTTTAATGAAAAATTATTAACATCTTATCTCCTTAAGTTCACTGTTTTAAATTCTAAATTGTCAGAATATAAAATTGTATTCTTTGCCTAAATATGCTACTAGACGTATCAAATTAACAAGTCATATAATAAATCATTCCAAATGTTCTTATTTCTTATATAATTAAACTTTGTAACATGCACATCTTTAATCATCCCTAGTAAAAATTTGTATTCTTAAAACTTTACTTATAAATTAATTAAAAGATAAAAATATGCATATATGTTTAATACTCTATCCTCCATCCACGTAATACAACCAAACGCAAAATTTTCAAAACAAGTTGCAAGCAAAACACCTCTCCTAATTCTTTAATTTCATTTCATCATCTTTACATATATTTATATGATGTATAAGCAAAATAGAAATAATTTTACAACATAATATATATATATATATATATATATATATATATATATAAACAATATTTTATGCAAAAACCAATTTGTAATTATAATAAAATAAACAAACAATGTTTTCACTTATAAATTCATAGGCTCAAAAAGTTGATAATACTACTACTTTTAGAGAGGCTATCTCTAGTTCTCATGGTTCTAATTGGTTAAATGCTATGCATGATGAGTTAGCTTCTATGGCCCATAATGAAGTTTGAGATCTTGTGGATTTGTCACTCGATTGTAAATCGAGTTAGGTGTAAATGGGTTTTCAAGGCTGAGCGTAGTCCGAGATGAAAAAGTTGAGAGATATAAAGTCAAACTTGTAGCAAAAGGCTATAATCGGAGGGATGACATTGATTATAAGGAGACTTTCTCACCGATCTCTACTAAAGATGCTTTTCGAGTGGTTATGACTTTAGTAACTCATTTTGATTTGGAGCTTCATTAAATGGATGTCAAAACAACTTTTCTTAATGGAGATTTATGTGAGGAAGTATATATGGTTCAACCTGATGACTTTGTTAAAAAAGGCAATGAGCATTTGGTTTGTAGGTTGAAAAAGTTTATTTATGGGCTGAAACAAGCTTCTCGACAATGATATTTGAAATTTGACCAGGTGGTCACTTCTTTTGGCTTCAAGGAAAATGCCTCGGATCAATGTATTTACTTGAAGAAAAATGAGAGTCATTTCATCATTCTTGTCTTATATGTTGATGATATTCTTCTTGTTAATAGTAGTGTTGAACTTTTGACTGAGACAGAGTTTATGTTAAATAGCCACTTTGATATGAAGGACCTTGGTGATGCCTCTATTGTTTTGGGCATTCAGATTTTTCGTGACAGGTCACGTGACATTCTTGGATTGTCTCAAAGAGGATATATTGATAAAGTCCTCAAACGGTTTAACATGCATTCTTGCTCCTCAAGTGTAGCACCTATTAAAAAAGGTGATAAACTCTATAAATCTCAATGTCCTAAAAATGATAATGATAAAGTTGAAATGGAAAAAATTTCATATGCTTCCGTTGTTGGTAGTTTAATGTATGTTTAAGTTTGTACTCGTCTCGATATTGCTTTTGTTGTTAATGCTTTAGGGAGATACTTGAGCGAACCGGGTTTGGGTCATTAGAAAGCCATTAAAAAGGTCTTTAGATATTTGCAGGGAACTAAGGATTACATGTTGACCTACAAGAAGTCTGGTCAACTTCAGGTCATTGGTTATTCTGATTCTGATTTTGTTGGTTGCCCTAACGATAAAAAACATACTTCTAGCTTTATATTTAAGTTGGCAGGATGAGATATTTCTTGGAAGAGTGTTACAAAAACTCTTACAGCAATTGAAAGCAATGAGGGGGAGATTGATGGAAATGTGAAACATGTCCCTACATTCCCAAGAGATGATTTTGATGATGATTCAAGTCAACAACATTCAAGACTCAAGCAAACCCAAGATATGATTTTGATAAAGATTATATTCAACATTCAAGGAAGTCCAAGATGATTCCTGAAAACTAGATAGAGTCTTAGAATACTGGAAATGGAGGTACAAGTTGATGAAATAATATTATGCATAAGCCTCCAAAGCACAAGTGTGATAAAATTTCGTAACATGACATTTTTCACTGTCATAATTGATTATGATGCATCAGAATTGAGAAATTAATTTTTACCCCAGCATAATCAATTATGTTGAGGAGATAATCAATTATGGCAGTTCAAAATTCAAAAATATATCTATTTTGAAGAATAAATGTTTTTGAATATATCCTGATTTTTATCCATGAAAATATTAATATCCAACGACCATTTTTTGATGTTATTATCTATTTAATTAAGTTTTGATGGAAAATAAAAAACACACAATTAGAGAATTTGAAAATACAATTTGCATTCAATCAGTTTTGAAAAAAAAATTTGAGTAAGGCAACAGAGATATTTTACATGTTTTGAGAAAATCCTCTTCTCCATTACCACAGAGATATTTTACCAAAACCCTCTTCTTCATTGTCTACTGTGCTTTTATGGTTAATCACACTTATTCTTGGAGGTTGACATTCTACAAGCTTCTATAATTTGGTGTCTTCATTACCTAGGTGTGACTGTTCTTATTTTATTACATTCATCCTTTGTGGGCTTAAGTGGTTGATTGTTAAATTCCCTGTTTAGGGTTTAAGTAGTCATTATCATTCTGTTGTATTTTTTTTTTGTTTCCTGTGTGGAAATTGTTCATCCATTTGATTTGTTCAGGGAGGTGTTTTCATCCTTTGATTTGTTCAGAGGAGGTGTTCACCCTACTTGGATTCTGGGGAGGTGTTCATCCTTAGTGGGATTCTAAAGAGGTGTGTTCATCCTTTGATTTGTTCGGAGGAGGTGTTCATCCCTAGTGGGATTCTAGGGAAGTGTTCATCTTTAGTGAGTTTCTAAGGAGGTGATTGTCTTTTGAATTAGTTTACTTTTTCTTAGTTGATTGTAATTTGTGAACTAAATTTAAAAGATATTGAATTGGGGTCACTCTTGTGTTAAGAGTTGATTAGTAACTAGATGTAGGGTTGGCTATATCCGAACCAAGTATAAATCACTATGTTCTCTTCTTTTTCCCTTATCTCTTTTTCACTGCATTACTCTCCTTACGCCCCTTATTTTTATCTCTATCTTTCTCTATCTTGTTGATATTTTATCTCTCCGATTATATTGTTTCCGCTTTATATTTGTTCAATTTGATAATTAAAATTGAATTAATAAATATTGGACATCTTAAAATAAATTTTTAATTTGGCATATATTTTAATTTGTGCATCTATTCACCCTCCTCTAGATGTCATTTGTCTAACAAGTGGTATCAGAGCTTTCTTAGATAAGATATTTCTAAACGATCTGTCAAGATGTCTATACAGAATCAAGTTTACAGAGAATGAGTCTCAATAAACAGACCACCACTATTTGAAGGAGAAGACTATCAGTTTTGGAAAGCGAGAATGTAAATATTTTTACAAACACTAGATTATGGTGTTTAGGATATTGTACTCAACGGTCCCTACATTCCGATGAGAACAATAAAATCTAGAGTTGTTCCAAAAAATTTGACCAATAGACAGCTGGATGAAAACAAGTGTGTCTATTATGATGTAAGAGCCTCGAAATGTTATTGTTTCTGCCTTACTCGTAATGAATTTTTCAGGGTCTCACAAGAAATATGAGACACTCTTGAAATAAC